AGGAGAAAATCCAGATTTTTCTCCTTAAAAGGAAAAACTCTGGGTTTTACAGTGTTTTTCCATGGCAAACAGGAAACCTGGATCCCTGCTTATAAGAAAAACACCATATTTACTTGATTGTAAAATTCATTCCTACCCCCATTTAACATGGGGGGGGGTAGCCTGTCATCTTAGAATTGTACAAGGTTGGGGAGGCAGCAGGTGCTGTGGCTCAGGCTCCATCCCCTACCTGAGCTCCCGCCATAGTCGTACCTGCTGCCTGCCCACCCCCATCTCTGCACCTTGCCCCCTCCCCCCATTTCCGTCTCTCCACAGCCTCTGCTTTCCTACTGCCCCACTCCCGCCCCCACTTGTATATGCTCCATGCTGGCAGGCTTCTTGTATGATGCAGCCTGGGGCACTAAGCATGGCCCCTGCCCAACCCAGTAGCAGTAGCACGCAGCCTACACAACTGCTATGGGGGTTGGGCTGGGCTGGCATTGTGGTCAGTGCCCCAAGCTAGAACGGGTATGGAGCAAAGGTAAAGGTGAGGAGGAAACAGGGAGGTGGGGGTGACAGGATGGGTCTGAGGCTGCAGGGAGACAGGCACAATCAGGGGGCAAGCTGCACTACTTCCGTACACTAGGTCCCTCCCCACTGCCTCGCTTCAGTTATGGGGGGATGAATTAAAGAAAACCTTCCAATATTTAAATTCTATATATTGAAAACTATAACAAATACATACATTTTCCTTGTATAGAAACTCATTACTGGGGGGTTGTCTTGAATTCAGGGTCACCTTAGAGTCACATATAAGTACATTATTTACACATTTTTCTGCAGTATCTAGTATAAATCATAGCCCTATTTTCCAACTCTTCACTCAGGAAACTTTTTGCAAGTGTTCATGTTCCCTTATTTTAGAATAAACTGCAGATGCATGATGTGGCTTCTGATCTATGCTAGTTGAAGTATCTGTTTTGCTAACAGAAACAAAGGGCCTATATGGAGTTTCTTTACCATTTAATATTTATTAGCCATTCTATATGAGAATATTAAAAAGCCAAAATTTAACAGAGCAGACAGAAAGATATTGGAAAGGTCAATAAGAGAAAAGGTGGCATATTCAGCATAATACAGTATAAAAATAAATATAAGCAAAGCAGACATTTTATTCTCCCTATTTAATCATGCTACACAAAGAAACATTAAGACCTTTTATAAACTTGTTTTTTAAAGGAGTGGGAAAAACTGGACTAATCTTCAAAGTGCGATTTTAAACCGTTCCAAACACGGTCTTTCAGAGCTCTGACGTGGAATTTGAATCCTTTGAGGCAAGCTACCTTGTGGGCGTATTCATTCAAATTCCACCTGCCAGTGTACGAACAGGTAAAGTAGTTAAGCCACTCCCTCTGCCCTGAATTTTTTTTCGGGGAAGATATTAACAAAAAATCTTGTACTTAGTAGGACAGAGCGTTATCTGAGCAACTGAATTAAAGCAGCTCTTCCTGTTTAACTCAGAGAACAAGAATAAAGACAGATAATGCTATGCAAAACTTTCTGATTGATTTGCCTCACTGAAGATTACAAGTTGCTGCCAGATTCTGATTGCCACCTTGCCTGCTGCAGCATATATGCTCTGAAACTGAAAGTATACGGGCTTGCTTTGGTACTTACCTGCCTCCTGTTTTGTTTTCTGTTGCTGAAAAACTCAAGTTGTTCTTGCAGCTTAGGATTTTTTTTTTTTAATTCTTGGAAAAATTACAGAACTTCAGCTGGTTTCTGTAGATGATATACCTGATGCTTACCTGGAACTTTCTTGAACTTTTTATTACTCAAGTGAATGGGGACCTTTTTTGGGGGGGGACTATCTTAAGTCAGAGATGGTCGGTAGCAATACTGTACCATTTTTTTCAGAATGTTAAAAATAGACTTTATTATCAATTTTGTAATTAAATTAGCCTGTGCAAAATGTCTATCTGATGGTTGAGAGAAGAGCACCCAGCAGCATTTTCTGGAATGGATTCTTACCGCACATACTGGGAATCTAATTTATTTAGTGGTAAGTGGCCAGAAGACCAAGAAGAACATATCTGTGAAGTTGAATCTCATGTGCCTTTACCAAATCCTTTTCCCTTCACTGAACATTTGGATGAGAATAACTCTGTAGTTGTAAATACTTCAATTTTTCACATCATCCACAAAAAAAATGGACACACATTAAGAGTTGTTTCTAAAATCTCCTTGCCTACCCCTCCATATTCAGTAAGTATTCAGCTTTTAAGGAAGCTCAGCCTTTAAGCTACACAATGAAAAGAAAATGTGGTGGGAAAGAATTTGAACATCTGTCTTGTGAATACAGGATCGATTATTTTGCATCATCCACTACTATCCATTTTTCATAAAATGGTTTAATAGGTTTTAATTGTGAAATTTGTTAGAATTAAAAATTGTAACTGAAAAATTGAGAAATTCTTTTAGAAATGGTTATAGAACCATGTTACAGTTGCAGACTTCTGTTCATATATTTTAGTACCAGGCCCATAAGAAATAGAATTAGCATAAGATTTGGGGCTTTATGTGTATAGTGGAATCAAGCCATTCTTGTAACTTTACAGAACTGAACTGTTATATAATTTAAATTAAATAGGACTAATAATGTTTTTAAGGAAAGTAGAGTCGATTGGTTGGTTTGTTTTTTATGTCTCGATTCTAGTTGTTTTGTGAAAGGGACGCTTCCAATTTTAAAATTACATTCTTACTATTATTTTGAATAATACCTCACATTGTACTTGTAACTGAAAGGTATCAGGAAAAACATCTTTTCTTTTTCAGTTTTTGTGTGTGCATTTAACTTATCTGTGTAAATTATTTTTACTGTTTACCCAATATAGCAAGCTTGTTACATTTTCCTTGTTATTTGTATGGGACTTCATACAACACTATAGGACATAAAATATATATTAAAAAATGAAGTGCAATTGTAATAATAGGTGGGAAGGTTTGGAACCAGCTATAGTCCTTTATCTTCTTTTTACGTTTTTGTTTTAAATTAGGGAACAAGTTAATAGTGGACCTTTAAGAGTAAATGTAATCTATAGAAGTCATATTCACTATTTGGCCTTTTAAAGGATAGTTTAATTTCGCTGAATTCGAAAAGTGAAACATTAGAGATTAGATGATATTTTCTAACCTAGATCTAATTCTAAAATGGGCATTGTCGATAAATAGGTATCCTAGTGTATAATGTTCTGTGAAATGATTCTAAACCATTTTGCAACAATTTTAAGAATATTGGTTTGATCCACTTTGTTTATTTGTTTTTGTCTTTTTGCCAGATAGGCTGTTTTAAGGAATTTGATACCCTTAGTTGTACTAACGAGTCTAGCTGGAGTCAGTGAAAAATTAACAGCTTTTTTTTTGTTTTTTGAAGGATTTGGAGAAAGAGTTAATTTCACAGAACATATTAGCAAAACACATAGAAGTGACCATAATACAGGCATCTGCCAAGACCCAGAATATAAAAGCAAGGTTGTAAGTTCATTTCTTTTCTGAAGTTGAGCAAACATCTGTCATGTCATTTTGTAACTTGAATACCACACAACCCTAGAAATAAGAAGCTTCTGTAGCTGGTCCAGCTCCAACAAATTCAGCAGTATGAAATTTTCCTTTTGCACTTGTTTATTTCAGTAAGGGACATAAGTAGAGCAAAGATCTTGACAGTCAAGAAGCAAAGGAGCAGAAGGAACTTCCTGGATCATTGAGCTGGTTCCTGAGTCTAGTTCCCAGTAGACAATTAAATAATTCCATATAATTAAGCTTTGGATTACTTCTGTGTGTAAATGAAAAGATTTGTATCTGTGTTTTTTTTTTAAAAGATCACTTCATGGCCCTTCATTTGAGTGCCACCAGACAAATGGAGTCCTGCATCTCTGCATGTTCTGAGCTTCTATACTGGTGGCTACAGATGTGAGACTTGGGACAGCTTTTTAGATTCATTGCAATTGTGGTGATGGAATTATCATGACCTTCCTTTTCTTTTAAATGATGGAGTTTATGACCTTGTTTTTTGTGGTATAATGGTTTGAAATGATCCTTGCTGGGGTAGTTTGACCCCCGTACTCTTTCCTGCCATGGCGGGGGGTTTGGACTAGATGATCTACTCAGGTCCCTTCCGACCCTAGAAACTATGAAAATGTAGATAAATCGTAAATAAAGGCAGGGAATGGGAAAAAAGTAGTTCATCAACATGACCTGTATTTGTTCTTAGTCACCACAGCGGCTTTTAAACCCTAAGATATTTTTATTGCATGTAATTCAAGTTCAAAGTGAAGCTGACATCTGAGTGGATACTGTGTCTGTTGTACTGTCAATATGCAAGGGCCTAAGTAGAGGTGGAGAGCAAAGTCAGATCTGCAAGTTTTACACGCTGTGCCTGTGGATAAAAACACTCCTTGCTAGGCCAGTTATCAAGCAACTCAAAACAAATGTTGCTTTATTGCTTTGTGAATGGGAAAATTTAACATATTCTAAGTTTGCATATATCTACCCTCTTATTTACTTGTATTCTTATGAAGAAGAAAGTTGAATGTTTCTTATGTAAAAAATTGTTTTAAAATCCTTTCTTCTTTATATGATGTCTAATTTAAGTATTGAGGAAGTGGATAGTGGCAGTATATTTCTAGACATAGTTAATGCAAAACATTTAAATAAGGGCGAGTCTAATGTAAACTGACATTGAACCAGGAAGTTTCTAGTTCCGGTACAAAGACATGGATTTAGTCATATGTTTTATAGTGTATACTGTACTGTCTTTATTTGCTTTGCTGTTTGTTGTATTGATCTTTCTGTTGTAGTATTTGAGTAGCTGCTCACAAAAATCTGACCCAAATGTCTGAAATGAATGTATAACTTTTGATCAGGCCCTAAAACAGCTAATAACCATGCATACAAAACTTAGAATTTAGGTATCTTTTATTATTTTTTGGAAGATCTAATCTTCATAATTTTTCCTGCTGTAGCTTGAACATGCTAAAGTTACACAGACAGAACTCATGCAAGAGTCCTTCAAAAGGCAGCAGGAGGCTACTGAATTTCTCAAATGTCAAGAGGAACTGCAAGAGCGACTCAGTGAAGAGACCAAAGCCAGAGAGCAGTTGGCATTGGAGCTAAGTAAAGCTGAGTGTGAGTATTTCCCATGGATAGTTGCTCAACTAAAATGGCTAAACAATTGACAAATTAGAGTAGCATCTTGTTTAAAAAATTTAGATTGTTTTCCAGTTTCTAGATAGTTATGGATGGATTATCCTTTTTTCAGCAGTGAAGGAAGGAGGTACTAAAGAAAGAAAGGGAAGCAATGAAAAGTAAATAGTTTGGAAATAGAATGAAAGAAACAACCAACCATAGTATGAGACATAAAGGAAGACAGAGAAAGAAAGGAAGAAAAAGTATGTAAAGTAACTGCATATATTTTCAGGATGACTAGGTAGAAAATATTAACCCCTTAGTTTGGAGGGGGCTTTAGGATTCTGTAATCTTCACCCAATTTCCTCCTCTTCATCCTTCCTGAATTTCTTTTTTCCTTTTTGTTTGCCAAGATGCAGCATACTTTCTCATCTGCATTTTAACTGTTACTGACATAGAAAAGCCTCTTAAACTAGACTGATTCAAACATGGTTCAGTGCTTTAAAATAACCTAGGATAGGTGATTATAATGATTTCTCCTTGTGTTAGAATATTTTAATCAAAGACCTATTTAATGTAATAAGAAACGTAAAAGCAGAGCCACACACAAAAAATATGCAATATATAACTCCCCTAATTAGCCTGTAGTGCAGTATTTGAAACTTAAGCTTATAATTATAATTATTATAAAAATGTCTTTGTAACTCCTTGAAGCTTGGTTTTGTTTGAAATTTGGTACGTTGCTCATGTTATTTTATAAAAGGGCTGCTTGGAACAGTGAGCTCCATGAGTTGTGGGGGGAAGTATCTTTTTTCCCCCCTACTCTGAGCCAGTTTCATGCAATCTCAAAGATAATATCCTGAAGTGATGCATTCTGGAGCTATCAATACCGAATTTGGAACTGACTAGCGGCTCCTATAAGATGCAGGGAAGAAATCTATTAACCTCATTTAGCCTTAATAAAGGTGTATTTTCAAACTGGTATATTGGAAAAATATCACTAACTTAAAAATATTACTTTGAGGCTGATCCTAAAGATTAGAAGGGCAATCTTTAGGATTGCTGGGAGGGCAGTACAGCAACATACAAGGAATCCAGGAAGTTTTTGGAGAATGTGCGGACAACTTTCTGGTGCAAATGTTAGAGGCGCCAACTAGGGGCCATGCTGTTTTTGACCTGCTGCTCACAAACAAGGAAGAATTGGTGGAGTATGTAGTACTGGATAGTAACTTGGGCAGCAGCAGCCAGGAGATGACTGTGTTCAGGATCCTGAGGAAAGAAAGGAAGGAAAGCAGCAGAATAAGGACCCTGGACTTCAGAAAAGCAGACATTGACTGACTGGGGGAACTGATGGGCAGGATCCCCTGGGAGGCCCATCTGAGTGGGAAAGGAGTCCAAGAGAGCTGTTTGTTTGTTTTTTAAAGAAACATTACTGCTGCTGCTTTCATATGGCTAGAGCAAGCAGTGGCAGAGAAGATGAAAATTAATTAAAAGTTGTATGTTAAGGTTTGATAGCCAATCCAGATGTCATCAACAGACTAAGTGGATTGCTTCAATCCCTTCATGATATTCAGGTTCAGGTCAGGAGTTTGCATTGTGGCTCATTAACTGCACCTTACTGCCAACACTGTATCTAGACTCCTGGCAGCCCCAAGTGAACTTTTAGTATCCTCCCTTCACCAGCCATAATGATGATGATAATTTTTAAATTACCATTTTCAGACCCCCTTTCTGTCCGGGCCCTGGGCAGCTGCCCAGTTCACCCATGCCTGTGTCTGGCCCTGCTCACCACATATGCAGTTCAGCAACTCCTTGATGCCTCATTTGTTCAGTAAATAGGCACACCTTCCATGTCCCATACAAATGCGATACAGCGTGGTCCGGTATTTAAGTTGCAGGCAGAAATCCCCAAGCTTGCTGATCGGATCTATGACCAAATTTTTCTTGAACACTGTTGCTGCAGACCAGATTTTGTGCTAGCGGCTCTCCATATCCAGACTGTTCAATGAAAGTGCAAAGAAACCTTACTGAGGGTGCAAAACAAGCAATCCCAACGTGCAGGAAGACTAGCAGATATGGCAGAAGACCAGTTTGGCTTAGCAGGGAACTCTTCAGTGAGCTAAAACACAGAAAGCAAGCTTACAAGAAGTGGAAACTTGGACAAACAACTAGGGAGGAGTATAAGAATATTGCTCAGGCTTGCAGGGATGAAATCAGGAAGGCCAAAGCACAATTGGAATTGCAGCTAGCAAGGGACATGAAGGGTAACAGAAGGGTTTCTACAAGTATGTTAGCAACAAGAGGAAGGTCAGGGAAAGTGTGGGTCCCTTACTGAATGGGGGAGGCAGCCTAGAGACAGATGATGTGAAAAAGGCTGAAGTACTAAATGCATTTTTCACCTCAGTCTTCAGAGGCAAGGTCAACCGCCAGATTGTTGCATCTGGCAGCACAGTTTGGAGAGGAGGTGAGCAGCCAACAGTGGTGAAAGAACAGGTTAGGGCAGTGGTTCTCAACCTGTTTGCCATAATGGACCATGCATGCAGCTCTCAGTGTTATGTGGGCCACACCCCACAGGTGTTGGAGCCCCCATGTATCAGGACTATGAGACCAGAGCCAGGGCCTGCAGCACCTGGGCTCTGGCTGGCACCTGGAGACAGCAGCTGCTGTGGCCAGAGCAGAGCACAGAGCCCGGCTTCTGCTTCTCCCTCCCCCCTCCACCCCAGCAGAGTGGAGCCTGTTGTGGGGAGAGGGAGGTGGACGTGGGCTTCCCACTATGGGGCTTCCTGCCCTGCTGCCCTCCCTGTGGGGCCTCCACTGCCCAGCAAGCAGAACCTGGCACTAGTGAGTGGGGAGGCTCTGTGCGACTGCTTGGGAACCCCATGCTGGCTGCATCCTCATGGCAAGGCATTCCCTGCCTGCCCAGCACCAGCAGCAGTATGGAGTTCTACCCCTTGCTGTTGCCATGTGGGCAGGGGATGCTGCACCACGGTGGTGTGGCCAGTGTGGGGCTCCCAGAAGTGAACCTCCCCACCCTGCTCTTCTGTGGAGGTCTCTCCCTGGGGAGGGAGCAGGGTGGAGAACCCCAAGCCCGCAACTGCCCCACATACAAATCTGGGGGGCACATGCCCCCCATGCCTCCCACCCTGGGAGTGTGTGCAGTAGTGGGGAGCTGCCCCCCCCCCACTGCCCTTCACTGTCCCCCAGACAAGCCTGTGGCTCTGTCCTGCTCCCCAGCTGAGCCCCACAGCCGCACGTTCCTGCCCTGGCCCCGGGCCCCACACACCGTCCTGGTTGGGCAGCACCTCCAACCCTGTCCTGTCCCTGCTCTGTCATACTGTACTTCTTCCCTCACTAAGGGGGCCTCAGTCTGTCCCCCGTCTTCTCCCTACATAGACTTACTTTGTGGGAACTGTTCTCCATACATGTGGCACCTATTGTGTCTGATCGCCCTCCTCCCACTCCCTTGCAGCCCCTTGCAGGATGAACTCTGCCAGTCTGCAAGGAGAAACCCACTGTTTCCCACTTTTTTCTCTTTTAAAGGAGAAAATCCATGTTTTTCTCCTTAAAAGGGGCAAATCTGCATTTGTCCATGGGGAATAGGGAAACCCAGATCCTCAATTTGAACAAACCGCAGGTGGCAATCTTTACATTTTTTTTTTTTTTTAAACAAGATGTCATATGTGCTGCAGCAGTGTGCTGATTGGGCCACATGAGGCCTCAGGTTGAGAACCACTGGGTTAGGGACTATTTAGAAAAGCAGAAAAGTTGGACATGTACAAGTCTGTATGGGGCTGGACATGGATGCACCCAAGGGTGCTGAAGGTGTTGGCCGATGTGATCGCAGAGCTGCTGGCTATTATCTTGGTGGTGGTTGGGAGAGGTCCCAGATGACTGGAAAAGGGAAAATATAGTGCCCATCTTTAAGAAAGGAAAGAAGGAAGATCTAGGGAACTACATACCAGTCAGCCTCACTGCAGTCCCTGGAAAAATAATGGAGCAGGTCCTCAAGGAATCCATTTTTAAGCAATTGGAGGAAGTGATTAGGGACAGTCAGCATAGATTCACCAGGGGCAAGTTATGCCTGACCAACCTGATTGCCTTCTACGATGGGATGACTAGCTCTGCAGATGTGGGAAGAGCAGTGCACATGCTATTAGCAAGACTTTTGATATGATCTCCCACAACATCCTGCAAGCAAGCTAAGAAAGTATGGGTTGGATAAATGTTCTGTAAGGTGAATAGAAAACTGGCTGGATCATCAGACTCAGAGGGTAGTAATCAACAACTGTGTGTCTAGATGGCAGCTGGTATCAAGTGGAGTGCCCCAAGGGTCAGTTCTGGGGCAGGTTTTGTTCAATATCTTCTACCTGGAAGATGGGATGCAGTGCACCCTCAGCAAGTTTGCAGATGACACCAAGCTGGGGAGAGTAGTAGATATACTGGAGGGTAGGGCTAAGATTCAGAGAGACCTTAACAAATTGACAGAGCCACGGGGGGTAGGAGAAGGATAGTGGGCAGCTCCCTGCCACTGCGCATACCCCTGGGGCGAGGCATGTGCCTCCCTGATTTGTGCATGGTGTGAGGGCAGGCTAC